TCCAGCTGATCTGGTTTTGCTCCCGTTCAAACCAAGCCCTTTCAGCCATAAAAGCCAGGATCCTCCTCTCTGCTGTCTCCCCTCATCACCTTGGGGTTTGGTTCCACGCCGCGCAGATTCCGGCCGTCTTAAAAGTAAAGCAATTAGCTGTACCTTTGGACAAAGTTTGGATGACATCAAAACAATCGTGCACTCTTTAGGGGGCAGCTGCCCTCGCACACCTTTACATTAGCCAGAGCAAAGAGTATGACTTGGTTGCCTAATTACTTCATTAGTAAGAGCTCTGAGAACAGCTGTTCCTGGCTGCAAGCGAGGTAATGCTCTCCAGGAAATCTCCGGGGTGGTCATTCCAAAAGCATCTCGGTAATTTCTCTCCAAGTGTGTCAAAACAGCTTTTATGCAAATATAACTTTGTGTCCTCCTAGTTTTATTTAGGGTGCCGTGCTGTTAGCACCATTCTCAAACCCATGGGGGATGGGGAGAAGTACACATGCAGTGTGTGCACATGGATATATAGTCATAGCAACCAGAAAAAGAGGCAATGGCACATCAAGCAGGTCAAGACACACCTTCTTCTCCTCATCCTGATAAAATAACTTTTCTGCATAGTATTTACTCTCCGATTTAAGAGGAGAATTCTTTCTGTGAAACAGGTCTGTATGTCCAATTCACGTTAGCTTAGCTGCCTTTGTGCTTCTCTGGTAGTAAAACCAGGGTCTATCTACATGCAAAATTGGAAGTAATTCAACTCGAGTTTTCCATTTTCCACTTGGTGCAGAGTCTTTAGTGGCTATCCAATTTATACTGGTCATAGGTAGATTCTTAAATAGACCTGTTACTAGCTTAACACCTAAATCTAGATTAAATGCTATTTAAAAAAAATTACTGGAGGTACATACAAGCTTTAAAGCACGTCTTCAAACACACCTTGAAGAATCCCATGGACAAAGAATATCCTCCTCATTCCTGACTTGTTTTGTTGATCGGGAACATCACAAGAGCCCAGAGGTTCTGCAAAAAATAACACGAGTGACCTGGTAGGAAGCGCTTGGAGCAGAGCTGGTCCCACAGAGCTGGTTCTTCCTATAGCCCAGCTCAGTGCCCAAATGATCACACATTGGGAGAACATTAGTGATCCCACAAGGATTTTCAACTGTTTATATCAGAAGAGGATAGGGCAAATGGACGGAAAACAAAAAATCTCATTCTCCCATCTCCCCTAATGGCAACAAATCATCTTCCTTTATCACCAAAAAATCTGACATTCTGATATGATCTTATCTGAAAGACGTGACATGCAGATAAGAATTAAAACTCTGTTCCTGAACGTTCCTAGCTATTAATAAAAAAAAAAAATAAAAGTCCGATGGCACTTTTGCAAGAGTAAAGTGTTAGTCCTGGCAAGCGAGCTGGATTTCAGCTCAGCTAATATTCCTGTGAAAGATTGCTCTTGCACTCTCAGTTGGACATTGAATGCTTCTTGATTTTTGACCTAAATTATTGTGATGGTGCTAACTGTGTGGCATTAAACTGTTATGTCCTGTCAGCCACGGAGCTTGTGGCATTTTGTAGTTTGATGAAGTATTTTTGACTGGGCTCAGTGGCTCTTGCAGCCGTTGTAAGGTTGTCTGCATGCCTTGGATAAAAGGCAATTAGAAGTGCTAAGTATTAGTTCAAGCATAGCTGAATGCGTGGACTCAGGTGCCAGCTTAAAAATAAAAAAATATTTAAAAAGAAAACAAAAACCCAAAACACTTTGTAGCTCATGGGATCGAAAATCTCCTCGATTCCCAAATAAGGCTCCCATCCCTGGAAAGCCTGGCTCCGAAGGGAAACTTACAATCCATACGGGCAAAGTTTCCTTTGCAGCCAGCAGAGGGCAAGAATTAACAGCACTTACAGCTAAATATTAAGAAAAAGAGGAAAAAGAGTAGATGTGAAGGAAGGAAGGGGAGGGGGGAATACTTCGTGCCATACCTGTCCTAGCAACTGATAAATAGTTGTAAAGGACTGGATAATCAGTTCACCAGGCTGAAAGCATCCACGTCCAGGTTTATAATTACATAAATAACTGACAAATGCATCAGAACGAGGCCTTACAAAGAGAAATCATTTCTCTCCTCCTGTACTCAACCACAGAGCAACACCTACTGCTTTTTCGGTTGTTTGCTTAATTCCCAAGCACACAGTCAGCTTATGTCTGAGTACCTCAAAAGTCCAAATCAAACTTTACAGTTGATTAATCTATTAGGTTGGTATAAGATGTGCCATTCGGTCTCCACCCTGGCCATAGGAATTTCAGTACCCGAAACAGTAAAATTATTTCAAACTGAACACATCTGCTAGTGCTGCAGGAGAAGATGTGCCTGTTTTCTAGTCAGTTATGTCCATTGGTTAAAAGCATGGCCTGGGTGAATCCATACACCCAAGTTAAAAGGACATGGATTTTTATCTGTTCCCACGAGTTTGAAGATTTAAAGCAGTAGAGCCTAATGGTGACAGCAAAGGACTGTCTCTTACTCCCAAAATCAATGTGTTGTGTCATTGACTCACATTGATTGACTGGAGGTTTGACACGTTGCATGTGCCTCAGTTTTCTCTCCTGAAAAGGAGACTAATGACACTTACCTGCCTCTGAGGACTCTCATGACGCTCGCAGGTAACTTCAGACTTCTCCAAGATGAAAACTGCCTTTTATGTGAAAAAAAAATTACTGCAGCCTGCCATCTTCAGGTCCTGCCATCTCCATCTGCACATACACATCTCAGAGAAATGCAAGTCTACAGACAAAGTACATTTTGGCAGGAGGGGATGGACAGAGTGGGACCCATGACCAGACGGGCTGGAACAGCCCTGCCACATGGCTATTGAGCCATCTCCAGGGCTAGGACCTTGCCTAGAATCCCTGTCACGCTCTTGGCGCCCTCCTAATATCTCTTATCTCCTACCACACGTGATGCCACATCGTGACCAGACATTATTGTAGGTCAGCTATCGGATCTGGGGAAAGCCTGTCAAAAAGCTGGCATCTTGTCCCTCAAACCGGGACCCACCTGCCAGCAGTGGAACAGGCTGGGTGAGTACCCGCTCCATCGCAGGCTGCCGGGAAGGGAAGAACCCCCTTACCTGGTGTTGAAGGAATCCAGCTCTAAACAAAAGGTACCACAACATCAGGAACAGGTGTCCTTTCACTTTCCTTCCCTTAGACCTCTCATTTGCATCTCCAGCAGACACGAACCTCTACTGTTTTTAATGGCTCAACAACCTTTGGGAAGATTGAATTGATAGGATAAAGAAGGGTTTAAGCAAATCCAGTTGGTTCTCTTCTATGTAATCAATTAATCTACAAGCTACAGAGCACTCAAATAGTTAAGAATCCCACCATTTAATTGATACTTGTTTCTGCAGCTGTGCAATATCTCTATCTCCCAAGAGGGCTGTTTCCAGTTGCTGCTCAAGGTTTCTAACAATCAAACGGATCAATTCTGCAGATACCTTAAGGCTGTGTGTTAAGTAAGAATGATGTTTGTGGTGTGCATTGGGTGGGGAAGGAGGCAGCGGAGAAAGAGACATTTCATTCACCAGAAAAATGCCGACGTATTTTCTGTTTAAACACTGGACATTTATTTAGAGTCTTTAGAGCCAATACATTATTGAATAATTTTAATTTATCACATCCAAATATAATAGGCAAATATATAATACAATAAATTGCATTTGTACACATAAATACAAAATTTGAGGTAGGGCCTCAAGAATAATGATTTCTTAAATTAATAACATACAGCACTATAATATGCACTACATGAGATATATATGGTGCATCCTGTGTAACATAATGTATCTTCTCCACGTATAGCTAATGAAAAAATTAAAATGACCTGGTTAGGGTACAAATCTTTATCCATAGGCAGCAGTACCCCATAGAATGCCTGTAAATATATATATATATATTTATATATGACATTACGCAAGTAATTAAGATTTAACCCATCAGCGATGGGTCCATAATAAAGTGCCATAGGACACAGGGCGCAAATTCTCAGCTGGTGTAAATTGTCACAGCTCCAGACAAAGCTGTAGCAATTTATACCAGCCAAGCATCTACCTTACAAGGTAATACTACGTAATATAAATGACAGATAACAACATGTTCTAGTCAATCAATAGATTTCCTAACAATGGAAGATTGCTATAAGGCAAATGGTTACCTGAAGATGTATTTAAACCTTATGGGCAAATAATAATATTGCAAGCACTAAGGTCCAGCCCAGTTCTCACCTTACGTTAAACCCATCAGGAAAACCTTCTCTCTTTGGCGATAGGCTGCCCGAGGGTGACAAAGGCAGAACCCCCAAACACCCGTACCCCTACCCCCTCAC